TAACTCTGTAGCTGAAACGACAAAAAATATGGTGAGTTGTTCCTAGAAAAGCAAGCGTTCACAATTAGCTTGAAGGCAATTGTGGCTAGGGTTTAACTGACGGCATGGGTTTGGGGTGGCTTCTTAGGGTTGGATACTGAAACTAAACTACGATCGTCTTTGTCTGAAAAACACAAAAAAAAGTATTAGTAGCTCCCTAGAAAACGAAGAGCAAAACACAGTTAGACAAGCAGTGAGCCGTGTTTCCAGATACGGGGACAGAGATTCTTAGCTAACAGAGTGGCCACGGGGATCTACTTCTATTAAAAAAATAATTACACATACCTTGATCCTACCTAAAAGAAAGAACTCACTCACCTGAAGAAAACGGTTGCAGACGGCTCTGTTTTATAGCCTGTAGGCTCTTGCATAATTCAGCAAAATTAAGACAACTTGATTGGTTATTTCTGTGCACAGGTCAATTTGTCATTGGTCAATTTTTGTACTCCACGATTGGTTCAATAAAAACCAATCAGATTGGTTAATCTATATTCAAATTTTTATCCCGTTTCTGTGATATTTGCAAGGTGATTGCACAACAAATGTTCGATTTCACACGTTTTGGAGCATATTCCAAGCCAATGTATCACAGTATGTGTGTATTTGTTCGATTATTTCTCTGATGAAGTTCACAAAAAATTACAGTTCAATCATTATTAAAAGGCTTTATTTTCCCACTAGCTTCAGAACCCCATCGAGCAGGAAAGTCGGAATTTAAAAGGCAAGTAAATCTTTCAAACTGTTGTAGCATTTGAATTATGTGGTACATTAAACTACTGAACCTTTCAGAATATTGTCGAATTGGGCATGGCATGGAATAATAGTAAATATAAAAACTGACAAAATCGCAAATGTAGTAAATTTCAAGGCTAAATATCGCAAATTCCAGTGGAAATATGGCGTTTTACCGCCATGCATACATAGCTATTCACAGGTATGTTATTCACGCGTTTTATATATTCAATATTACACATCAAAGCGGCCTAATCCTTAGGATATTGCCCAAAATGCAAACGAAAACCGGTTGCAGTGGTTTAGATCAAATATTCAGTACTATTTTGATATATTTAGCGTCAAAATCGAGCCTTTAGAAGATTTTTGCCGATTTTTTATATAAACATACCTGATGATATGAATTATCGCATCACCGGCAATAATATTTCATTATAATAAAAATATGGAAAACAAATTCGGGCAAAAAGCCGAAATTCTGACCTAGTTCCTATTCGAGTTTGTCTTAAGCACGTGCTTACCAACGATTATCGCTTAGCACTTTCATAAGTGTTGTTTAAATGCTATTTCTTCGATTCTTTTGCACATCCTAGCCCAAGAATAACTCAGAATTACCGGACGTCTATTGCATCGGAGTTACGACTTGTGGTAAGCCAAATTCAATGTTATTTCTCGCGATTTTTCTATGATGTCTTACATTGTGGTTTTTTGAAGATTCTACAATGTTTCCTCAGTCTGCGAGCTGAGAACATCTAGGCCTTGTGCAAGAAAAAATTGGAAAAGTTAAATTCACTTCGTATGTTATTTGTTCTGAAAGAAAAAGGTTGGTTAATGATGATAGTGCAACGCATGTCAGGTATTCTGCTTTCAAAATTCCTTTTTAGCTCGCCTGCACTTTAGTGCAAGAGAGCTATTGCTATAGGCTTGGCGTTCACGTCCCCGTCCCTGTCCCCGTCCGCGTCCACACTACATGATAAGTAGAATGTTAAGATGCCACTTTTATTTTCCCATTATTTTCAAATTATCTACTTAAGGAGTCTATGTTGCAAAAGAACCATTTACCAGGGGGGAGTGAACATTATACAACAAATATAATGATAAGGTCAATGTTAAAATGCTATATTTTTTGTATACTTTGGCTTTACATCAGAGGAATCATTATCAATATAAGTCATCAATATGCATTGTGACTATTTAGTGCCATTTGGTACACATTTATACAATAATAAAGAGAGTTTTGCTCAAAATTATCAAATGATAAGGTGAATGTTAAGCTAATTAACATAATGATAAGGTCAATGTTAAGATGTTATATTTTTTAAATATTATGGCTTTACATCAGAAGATTCATCATAAATAGAGCTCATCGATATGTCTTGTGACTATATGGTGACATTTAGTACACATTTACACAAAAATAATGGGAATTTTTTCAAAATTATCAAATGATAAGGTGAATGTTAAGCTATTTAGCATAATGATAAGGTCAATGTTAAGATGTTATATTTTTTAAATATTATGGCTTTACATCAGAGGAATCATCATAAATATAAGTCATCGATATGCATTGTGACTATTCAGTGCCATTTGGTACACATTTATACAATAATAAAGAGAGCTTTGCTCAAAATTATCAAATGATAAGGCAAATGTTAAGCTTATTAGCATCATGATAAGGTCAATGTTAGAGTTATCCAGAGTTATCACGCTCATTACGATTTTCAGGGCTATTGTGTAGCCCTGTTTTTTTAGTTCAAATTTGTAGCTGAAACATATTTAACGAAAGTATTTGTACAACCCTAAGCCATATGAGAAACTTTCAAATATTTTCACCTGTATGCTACCATTTGTTTGTATTGTACATGTACAATTATAAATTATGAGATTGTGTTTATAAATGATTATGTATATAAAACATAGTCCAATGTTAAAGTTTAAAGAATATTGTCAGATAATTCGCAATTACAAGCTTTAGCACATAAGTATTTATAAGTAGAAAGCCGATATGCTTGGAATACAAAGGCAAATGGCAACGCATGTGACATATATTTGCATATTATTTATGTAGATACACATGCAAATATATTATTAAAGCCAGTTAAATTGTAGACAGGGCCCTTTGAACTACCTATAAGATTTATGTACATACCTTTTCGTTGTTTGATGCATAATCCTTTTTTGTGATAGATTTTCATAAAGCTAGGCGCACACACGACGAATTTTTAGTCGGCTGATTCCTGTCTAGATTGTCTAGATGGATGTTTTCATCAAAATGTGGCGACTGGCACTCTATACTTGGTCATAATCACTGAGCTATAATTTTATAGGTCAGTGGTCATAATATTAGACCAAGTAGACTCGCGTGCACGCACGAGGCGCGAGCGCCGCGAGAAGGAAAAAATGTCTGGGCAAGGGCTTCCTATATGTCTAAACCTGAATAGACCAACTACCGTAAAATCGTTGTGTGTGCGCCCGGCTTAAAGCAGGGACTTTTGCCTGGTCCGTTAACATACCTGTTGATATCACGTGCGCGGATTGCGAGAAACGGAAGAAATATTGGTCACAAATAAAACTAATGTAATTCCGAGGCCAGTTTTGGCCAGTAATTCTGAGGTCACAACTAATATCTGAAGTTTGTGCTTAATATTACCTTCCAACGCGGATTTTAGCCTTGTAATTTGTAATAAAAAGATCGGTAATTTGTGCTTCATACAGATACCTTTCATACAGAGTTTAGCCTTATTCTAGACAAACAGTGCCGGCGAGCGTTAGGTGATTTCAGCACCTCTCTGGTTGCTTTACCGGTAGCTAATGTCAATTGGGGCCATGCTCTGTTCAGCCACCTGTTACCTCTACTTTTTGGTAATAATGTGATTAAATTCAAAAAATTCAAATTCAATACATCCTCATTTTTGTTTTAGTTCTGCAGAAGATAAGACAACCGGATTGTCTCACTGCTTTAAAACGAGGCAATGAATGTTATTCTTGTGTGCTTACAACAGGTAAACTTTTCCATCATAATATATCATCTGGTATTAAGTTTCGATTGAAGTACAACTTTCTTGATTTTCTAGAAATTGGAATGGGAGGTGTTCTATGTTGTTCTGAGAAACTTTCCAGAGGCACTGCAGATAAAAACTTGATACATTCTTGAAAGCACTACTTACGTTTAATATGTACAGTGTTATCTAAAATGGTAGAGGAAGTAAAGTTGTGCACTTTTCACACCAAAATCATGAACTAAAAATTTTACTTTGCATTCAGGTTTGAAATTATGATTTTCTTCCTGGATTATTTCGTGTTCCTCATGATATGCGCCGACCTCATTTGTACGCTAGAATTTTTCCAGTACGGTTCTTATCCTTCAGTTTTTTGCATCTATCATAATATCTTACCATAACTATACCAAAACCATACTATACCATAACCATACCACAACATATCATATAATCATATCGTATAATCATATCATACCATAACTAACCATAACCAAATCATACCATACGATAACCATATAATTCCAAAATTATATCACACCATACCATACCATGACCAAATCATACCATACGATAACCATATCATACCATAATTATATCACACCATACCATACCATAACGAATTTATACCATAAGTGTATCATACCATACTAATAATTTAATTGGATATTTTATTGTAACATGTGAAGGTATTAACAGAGCTGTGTACGTACCACATTTTCATTGGTCAAGATGAACAAGTAAGAACCTGCTTGACTTTATTTTCAGCCGTTGTCTGTTCTCGCTTAAACGTTGTTGTATATTTCGTCTAGTTTTGTCTGATGCGTACTTTGCAGATTAGTTTGGTTGCTCATTCCGCGACGTTATGCGTATCCTGTCTCACCATATGTATGTTAGAAATGCCTTGCCAGTTATGGCAAGGTAAGGCTACTTAAGATAGTCCGGAATTTGAGACTTTTTTATGTCCATTAGCACTTTGTAAAGAATGAAGTTGATTTAAGTAATTGCAGCGTTTTCTAAGTTTATTGCTTTGGAGATATTTGAAATCGTGCCTTGATAATGCACTCAGTGAATTTACAGAAATGTATTTCAACAAACTCCAGCCTAAATGTAACGTCTCTTGTTATGCGAGATACTCCTTCACAAATACAAGGTTTTTTGAGCAATAATTCTAAATTTTCGTTCCTTAGACTGCTCCCAACATATCTGGAAAAGTTTACTAAACTTTCGCCAACGCCTCAAGTTGTCATACCACTGTTAGAATTTCTCTCTGGTATGGTTCTTAAAGTTTCGTAAATTAAGAAATCTTTTGCGAAATATCAATGTACCCCCTAAAGAGAGGATTCTGATTGAGCAATTCTGCCGCTAACCATAGTTGATCGCCTTTTTGTACAATCAGCTGTGTTAAAAATCTCGTATTTCTGTTTACCAGATGATGGAGATTTGGATAAACAGGAAATCGCATACATAAAAGGTATATGTATAGCTTTCGGTTGCCAGTCATGATATCAGGATTGAAACCGCACATCAAAATGGGCCTCTTGTAAATATAATCAATAAAATATACCTGGAACGTGTAGTAGGTGAAGCCACGAATGGAAATTGAGGAATACTAAAATGGTGGCTAGGAATATTTTTGTATACCTCTTCTCAGCTGTACGCAGTTCATTGAACAGCTAGTGATTTGCATCGGTTATCAAGCCAATCAGATTACGGCTAGTTCATTTATAATACCCAGCCTCCTCTTTTGACGTGATTTGCTAGCCTGATTTCGTATTATAATTGGGTCAATTTTGTTTATTTTCCAGGCTTGGTCTTGAAGCTAGAGGAAGAATTGCATACTGTAACATCTTCATCCTCCAAATAATTACACATCCCGGCAGGTGCAGTATACAATTTATTTGAAAACATTGTTGAAACAAGCATTATATGACTGCAGCCTCGTTAGAAATGCCTTAACTTTTGCAGTCTTTTGTCTTTTTGTCACCCAGTTACATTTTCGAACTTCTGGTCAAAGTACGAAATCACTCGAGAAAGTGATTTCATTTTCCGTTGCAAGTGAGTTTATGAAGTGGTTTCCGAGCTTGTTTCAACATTTCATTTGTTAAATTTGGATGTGCAAAGAATTTTAGGCGATTATCGAGTTGGAGCAAGCTCTGCATGATTCAATATGCCAGTATTGCAGCAACCTATTGTTAAAACTGGGAAATGAAATGCATACATTATTTAAGCAAATCTTCTTCAATGTAGATCAAATTGGTGGTGCAATACAAAGACAGTTCGCGGACGCCTTGAAAGTACGTATACAGTAGTCTTTGACATGATAGAAGACTTAGTGGTAGAAATTTGGGGAAAGGGCTCGTATGTTGATATTTTTTGACGTTTATTGCTGTAATAGCTTTCTTGTAGCTCCACTTATCTACATGTCTTCAAGCAGTCGTTAACCTGGTTTCCTTTGTGTCGTAATTGTTGTAAACAATCATTTTCGTAAACAATCATTTTCACGGATAAAATCTAGTCCAATCTTTCCACATTATTGCATCCCAGGTAGTTTTTCAGAACAGCGATGCATTAGGGTCGAGCGAAAAGAAAGATGTGCAACAAGCTGGCACATTTACGGTGCAATCATCTCAACCTGTGTGTATTAAAAGTAAACTCTGCATGGCAGGTAGTTAATGAAAAATGAGACAATTCATGTATTGCTGTAGCCAAATTAAGTTTCTTGTGTTTTTTAGGTTCATGTTCAACAGCAAGCGAATGACGGTTGGAAGAGGAAGCAACTGGATGTTTGGTCAACCAGCAAAGCAGCTGGTGGCGACAAAGGTGATCAATTACGTCCACCATAACATTAAGCTACAAGATGATCTTTTGTATAGTCATTTTTTAATAACGGTGATTGATTTAGGAAACCTATAAGGGCTTACCAGTGGAACTTCAAAATCTACATGTCATTAAGAAACATCAGATGTTTGTTGGAATCCTCAAAAGTTCTAAACTCTTCGTACAAAAACAGGTAGAAATTTTTTTAGTATATATTTTGAAAGGAGAGTCTCTAACCCCTCATCGTTTCTGGATTACTACTACTTTGAAGCGGTGTACATGCAATAATACCACTACACTATCAGTGGCAATTCTAAGGGCGTCCCCTTTTCCACAGGAACAACGTGAACTACTTGACAAAAATGGGGATTGCAATAGGTAAGTTAAAAAAATTAAATCGTAGGAAAATGTCTGGTTTCATATTACCTTTTAATATAAAATTTGTGTAGGTTCGTCCCGATGAATTGTTCGTCTCTTGTATAAATACAGCTAATGTGATTTTTATACAGATTAATCTTACTGGACCTTTTGATGGTGCTTCCTTAGATCGAAATTCTAAATCGGTTAGGGTTTTGTGTGTTGTTAAAACTGATATAGGAACGATATTTCATATCCTAGTCCGTTACGTTAATTCACAATGATTATCCTTTGTTTTGTAAGAGTTTTGGTCTATGGAACCGACTTGAGACACAAAAAACTATTTTTGTTGAGCCACGACGAAAAAACGAATTTACAGAGGTTAGTTCTATTGCCATCCAGCGAAATCTTAAGACTAGACTTTTTAACAAATGAATATATAGTTAAACAGTTCATCTGTACGTTTTTACGAGGACGAAAAACGGATCATTTTGATCAGGAGGTTATGTTCAACTAAATAACTCGCAATGAACAAGCTGATTGAGGTTTATCAAAGGATTTATGGTCTGTTTTAGGCAATGGAAGGATTTTATGAAAACGTTTGCAACCCAGAGAACAAGGGTGCTGTTTCTTGTTGTTTGCTAAAGAAAGGTATGGTGTCTACTGTATTTTTTCGACGTATTAATACCAAAGTCTTTAAACACATACATTTAAGACGGCTTGTCAAGTTTAAAACCTTGTATAGTAATAAGCTTGTTGGCGAATCTGCTAAAAACCTGTCAGATTTGGTGGAAATAAGTAATAATTTCATGTCCAGTGTCCGCGAATATAATCCTTGATTCAAATCTTTTAGTATAAGCAATTAGGTCAGGGTTAGGGTGAGGTTTAGAATTAAAAGTTAGGAATAATTTCGTGCATCCTGGACATGAAACAAGCTATGGACATGAAACTATGATCGAAACATACAAGTCAAACACATCCTGATAACAGACCGTCAAAAAAATTGATACGAGCCTCGGATGTTTTACAAGAAACTCCTGTGTTTCTCACGTTTAGGTAAGCAAAACCGGGAAACGAAGATTTAACTGTTGAAATTGACGTTTTCTATTGTTTTATGTTTGAGACCGAACGTATGTGTGCCAGGATCAGGTGACCAGCTGTGCATTCACCCCCAGGTTCTTGAACAAGAAACACACACGGCCAAGGCAAGTGTAAATGACTTCATTGACCGTTGGTAAGTAGGTTTGTAGCTCAAATTCTACATACCATGTACCCATTTTCTTACACGGTCGATACACTGAATAATTTACTATCTACTGTATAGGTGCACAGGTTGTATAACCACCCTCGCAATATTTTGCCCTTAAAATAAGGTAGTAATCCCCACAGTTCATGAAAGTTCTCTTGACTATTTTCAGAGGCATTTGTGCTGTACAAAGGTGTTATCATGCAAAGACGTGTCATTACTATAATTTGCTGCAACAAGGTACTACCACTAAGAGATGTTTATATTGGGCTATTCGGCCATTGCCATTGGCGTATACAGTATCGTCAGATATTGTTTGGTATTCACTATATTAAATATACACACTAAATTTAGGCTCAACTCAACATATATATGCATGAGCGATATACTTATGCTGATCGGATTCATATCTCTACAATTACGTGTAACTGCAGGAAATTTAATCGGAACTTATTTCATCCTACAGCGATATACCAGTGGAACTTCAAAATCCACATGTCATCAAGAAACATCAGATGTTTGTTTGAATCCTCAAAACAGTACCCGACTCCGCAGTTTTAAATTCTTCGTACGAAAACAAGTAGAAATTTTGTAATATATTTTGAAAGGAGAGTCTCTAACCCCTCTTCTTTTCTGGATTACCACTATTTTAAGCGGTGTACATGCTATAATACCACTACACTATCAGTGGCAATTCTAAGGGCGTCCCCTTTTCCACAGGAACAACGTGAACTACTTGACAAGCCTGGGTATTGCAATGGGTAAGTTACAGAAAAATAAAATCGGAGAAAAATGTCTGGTTTCATATTATCTTTTATTATAAAATTTTTAATATCTTGAAGTTAATTCTTAAAGAAAATTGTACTACGAGGATGGTTGCTTTCGGATTTTGCGGGAGAATTTAGATAGTTCGATCCTGTGATTTCATGAGTCAAATTTCGCCAGTGTAATATAGTACAAATCAACATAGAAATTCGTATCGTCAATATCGTCAATTAAAGAAACAATAGGGTGAAATGTCAGTATTTTCAAACAGCTTTTGGAAATCAACAGGCAAGAAAACACGTGCTTTATATGTAATAATATAGTGCCTTTATCTATTTCACTTTCCAATCTGACACTGGGATAGTCCGGATGTTTTGCAAAATAAAAGCAGCCTTCTTTCTTCATGTACAGGTCCCTCTGTTCTCCAATGTACGTCACTTCCGGTGAAAAAGCCACGAAAAAAAGCCAACTTTGAGGCCCGAATAAACGAATGCGTCATCGAAGAAAGAATGCGTCAACAGCGCGCCATAATTAAGCGTTCGACCGCATCTGAAGCTTTACCTCGAAAGGTCGCAGAGAGTGTAACAAACGAAAACTGCTCACCGAGAAACATTCTGCGAAATGGTGCAACATTGCTAAAGAAGCAAGAGATCTTAGGTCTCGCCTACAGAAACAAACATATATTACGCAGGTATATGAATTACTATGCTAATTGCAACTATTTAAGCATATATAAATACAGATCCAGATTGGTACTGATGGTTGAATGGCTGATATTGGTTGAGCAGGTAATGATACTGTTTACCAGATAAGGTTTTTGAACAATCTGGTGGGAGGTTTCAGTGTGCAATTATGGGCAAAATCCAGGCAATTATATATGCCATATCTTCACCACTTGGCATAGCCAAGATTTAACTTCACAGTTGTGAAGTTAAAATACTTTTTAAGGGTCATAAGTAGCTTTCTTGTTTTTCAAAGCTTTTTTACGACAGTTGAAAAATTAGGTCACTATCCAGTGGATAACTTTATCCATGCACCTTTTGAACAACTGGCCCCAAGGCTGTAAACAGGATTTTTGCCAGGGGGGCACTGTGTGTGTTGAGGAACAGGTGCCCCCCATATAAGGCTTATGTCATCACTGATATAGTGCAAAATTACATGGTTTCTTCCAAAAATATATATAATACAGGTGCTCTATAATAGTGCTATTAGTTTTTATAAAGCTTTTGTAGATTTCAATGAATGTAGGTGACAAATGAAGAAATCCTATATTAGATGTCAACCATATTATAGTCCAAAAGGGTTGCTGGGGCAAACAAACCTCATGATCTGCTGCCAGCATTGTTTTATTTTTTTATTTGCGCTGATGCAAACGCCGTTCAGCAGCCTTCAAGAGTTTTACTAAACAGATTATTGCAATGGACATTTCTATAGGCATATCGTCGATGCCATTCTCTAAATTTTAAAATTCACAATGAAACATGTTGATATCCACATATTAACTCTAAGGGCCTAACTCTAAGGGCCTAACTCCACGGGCGCCTTTTCTCGGCGAAATGCGAAATATTTCGTCTGTTTCTTTTGAATTTTGACCGCTTGAATCAATTAATTATGCATCATTGCTCACAATTCAAAAGAAGCAGGAGAAATATTTCGCATTTCGCTTGAAAATTTAGCCCGTGGAATTAAGGCCGAAGAGAAAAGGGGTGGGTAAAGAAAAATTTGAAGGTACCCAAGGGTGGGTTAAGAAAAAATGGAATAGTGGTTGGGGTGGGTAAAATTTTTTTAGCATAGATAAAATTTATATTATTCTTAAAATACTGAGACTACATGAAATACTGTACAATAATACAATGTACTGTTTTAGGATACTGTCTGTCAGTCATTCAACATCAATGTTATAAACAAGAGCATCCTCAACTGAGGAAAAACTTGCACATTCCACTTGCTCAGCCACTTGTGCTTCATGCCTTTCTTGCACAATCCTTTTTTCTTTTTTAGTTTTGTTCTGGTTTCTTTATCTCTCCTGGCCCGTCTTCTCTTTTCAGTCTTTCGAACATCAGCTGCATCAAACCTCTTCTCAAGTTGATGCATTACATGCTGAACATCATGCATGATCTTTTCAATTCCATTCATCATTTCCTCAATTTGGAAAATTGATTCACAAATAAATTTAATTTCATCACCAGCCCATGAATTTTCCTCCATATGTTCATTATAGAGTTCCTTTTTCCTTGACAACAGTTGATCTTTCAAGGACTTTAATGAACTTATAGTTCCATTAAAATGCTCAACCGCACGTTGGCTTTTGGAGACATCATCTACCTTAACATCTGAAGGGAAGTCATTGTATCTTTTCCACCAAATGGGAATTAACAATTGGGAATCAACAATTGGGAATTAACCCTTCCTGAAATCCACTTACTACATTGAGCCTTTCCTCGTTTAACACAAGTCGGCTTGGTCGTCGTTGGTGTTGTATTCATATTTATATCATTCGTGCCTCCAACGATGTCAATCGATGGCTTTTCAAGACTAGAAAGAGCTTTCTTGAATTTCAACAAATGACCAAGCCAACAATATCAAACATTTGTTGTTTCTCTTCAGCATCCATGGTCTTGATCAACTCCACATCGTCAAAGCCAGTGTCTTTAAAACGCTGCAGATATTCCTCAGTAAATTTCAATGAAGACATAAAATTTTCGAACGTTAAATTCTCAGCCATCTCGAATATTCACTAGATTCTCCTTCAAAACAACAACGTGCCATGTGATTTACAGGAATTCGAGGGACAACTGGGGATTAGACATGATATTCATTATAATTCCCATGAATTCCGATGATGTAAGATCGGGTCAATTTCAGTGCATGGTCAATTTCAGTGGTCAATAATATAATAAATCTCTTCTTGCCAACTTGCTATTATAATACTCAACATAAACGTGCTTCTCGACCAGTTAATACCAGTGTGTGTAATTTCCACGGCTTTCGATTTGGTGGAACATTGACAGGTATACTCGTCAATACCACTTTTTTGTGATATTGTATATAAGCAAACTCGGTGGGGTTGGTTAGGAAAAAACCTGAAAGATTGTTGGGTGGGTCAGGGAAAATTTATTGATGTTGAATGGGTGGGTAAAAATTTTTTTTGGACTTTGGGAGTTTCTCTTCGGTCCCACCCCCGGCCATTAATAATGACCGGTCCCTTAAGACAAACAATTTATGCATACAATTTCAAAAATTACTTACCCTTTCATGATATGAAGAGAACACAAATATATCCACTACATTTTTAACATATTTCCCATTGCTGGAAGCCATCTTGTTCCAATCGCGTGTTCCAGTTCGAGTTGATAAACATAAAACAAATGATTCGCGCGGCCTTTGCTCTACAATGGAGATTACAAGAACATCATTTTCATACAATTGAAACTATGATTGTATATAAATCACAGAGGGTCTATACTGTAGTGTACTAGTGTACAGTATGTATTTTGTGATATCTATAACACAAGAATATACAGAAAAAAATACAGGTTGTTTTCTTTCATATACACATAACACCCTTGTAAGAAAGCTCCATTTTAATGAGATTTATCGAACTAGGATATGTGCGAATTTGTTAGTTTATCATATTCCACAACAATTTCAAAGATTTACTTGCCTTTTAAATTCTGATTTTCCTGTTGGACGGGATAGTGAAGCGAAAAACATTTGATGAGAATATTCGAAGTGTATACAGCAAACAACAGCTGAACATCACGTGTTTTATGTAGAACGAAGTTTGGCTGTGAATAGCCATTTATAAATCTTCAATCTCTTTACACCTAGGTTGAAAGAAAGCTCGATTTTAATAAGATTTATCGGACTAGGATATCATGGCCGTAAAACGCCATATTGCCACTGGATTTAAATTTACTATATTTGCGAATTTGTCAGTTTATCATATTCTACAACAGTTCCAAAGATTTACTTGCCTTTTCAATTCCGATTTTCGTGTTGGACGGGATAGTAAAGCGAATTGAAGAAATACGATCATACTGTCATACATTTGATGAGAATATTCGAAGTGTATAGAGCAAACAACAGCTGAAATCATGTGTTTTATGTAGAACGAAGTTTGGCTGTGAATAGCCATTTATAAATCTTCAATCCCGTTTACACCTAGGTTGAAAGAAAGCTCCATTTTAATGAGATTTAACTAGGATATCATGGCAGTAAAACGCCATATTGCCACTGGATTTAGATTTACTATATTTGCGAATTTGTCAGTTTATAATATTCTACAACAATTTCAAAGATTTACTTGCCTTTTAAATTCTGATTTTCCTGTTGGACGGGATAGTGAAGCGAAGAAGTACGATCAAGTGTATAGAGCAAACAACAGCTGAACATCACGTGTTTTATGTAGAACGAAATTTGGCTGGGAATAGCCATTTATAAATCTTCAATCCCCTTTACACCTACGTTGAAAGAAAGCTCCATTTTAATAAGATTTATCGAACTAGGATATCATGGCCGTAAAACGCCATATTGCCACTGGATTTAAATTTACTATATTTGCGAATTTCGGTCAGTTTATCATATTCTACAACAGTTCCAAAGATTTACTTGCCTTTTCAATTCCGATTTTCCTTTTGGACGGGATAGTTGACCCATTCAAGAGAGATGTAAAGTATTATTTAATTTTGACTTATCCGCCGTTTAAGCTAAACGGCATTGATACAACCGGGCCCGGGACTATAAGTAAATGTGTGGAGCTGTATTATTATTATAAATGCAGACTGTCTTAGAGCGTTTTGAGATCGTTTAGATTGTTGTACGAGAGTTGTTTCATGAAATTGTTGTAAATTGAAAATAGAAGTAAAACCAGCGTGTGCAGGTTAATTTACTGAAGGAAGCTTGCCAAGAATTTAGTGAAAATATTTGACAAACTTTAAACAGTTTTCATTATTGGCTGAATACCAACTGTATATTTACGGTCTACACAAAGGTCTCGGAGATGTCAATTTCAAAACAAAAAGTCAATTTCGTTTAAACTATGTACTTAAAGCACGGTTTTTACCCTGGGTGACACATTGGACGAGACGAGGCAGCTCGTCGTGAAGAGAAGCGTGGCGTCATAGAATTTCACGTCGTTGGGAACTGGCTGCGAGGACAGCTCTCTCAAAAGAATATTATGTGGTTGATTGGCTTGACAAAAAGTATTTTCATATCAACTAACGCGAATGCCGAAAGAATATATGACGAGATTGGTTTTGATCAGTAAGTGAACCAGTAAATTTTAGCTGCAAACTATTGGCACGGTCAAAATGGATGCGCTGTGCTTTAAATTGCTGTGCATCAAATTGGACGCAGGCACCAATTTTAGCTGTCCCGTGCTAATAAATTGACTACATCATTCTATAAAGAGCTTCTTGCTAATTTAGATGTTTTGGTTGTTGAATGTATGCAAATATCATCGTAGATAAATTGTACTGATAATTTGCTCACTTTAACTTAATCTAATGATCTGCCATCTGAGCCACTTTGTTTAGCAACAAGAGAACGAGACACATTTTTACGGCACCCATGTATAAAAACTATCGCACAAGGTAAATTTCATTCAGTCTCGAACAACGGGTTTTCACTTGTGTTAAACATTACAGACATTAAAATAATCTCCGGTTTTCTTAAACACCGTTTAAAAAATTGAAATCTGGATTATAATCACGCATTCATAAATGGAAAAAATTGCGATTAGCTAGTATTTTTGTCCAATTGGCTTCTAATATCCGCTTGCATTAAAATATGTTTGCTAATTTGCATGCTAGCCCGGACAAATAATTATGATCTTATTAACTCTCCTTCTTTCGGCGTTCTGTGAATATAAATTGTTTTTAAATGCAAGCGTAAATTGAATATACTAACCAAAGCCAAAGCGTAAATTGAATATGTTAACACATTGAATTTTTTTAACATACACTCGATCTTTTTAATTTTAAAATGTCGTGCCAGTGGTAGGCATGATATCTCTTGAAGAAGGATTCGATTGGATTTTATAACTTATTGTATTACTTATATATAATAAATGTAATATTACACTAACTCCGGTAAACTCGAACCCCCGCGGTAACTCGAACAATTTTCCTTTGCCCTTGGGGGTTCGAGTTAGCGAAGAAATTCTGTATTTTAAAAGCTCACTCAAATTTTATGAGTGGGAGTCATAACATTTCCATGGCGGTATTTCCACTGGAATAAGAGCTTAATTTTCAGTGTTTTTCGTTAAATCTTTGTATCAACTAAGAAATAACTTTCTCTTTGATCGGTGATGACAAAATTTGTATGTCACACTCAATGAGTGAGTGTAACACGGCCTACAGGCGATAGTGTGGATACGGAAGAATTACTGATAATCGTTTGACATTTATCTGTTTTGAGAGCGTAATGTCCAAAATTTTTGTATTGTGTAATTAGACAGAAATTCTAGTTTCTACAGGGATCGTTTATGAAAAGTATGGGTTATGGTTGTCGCAGATAAACTACCTGAGGTAGAAATTTTAGCAACATCTAGTCAAGAATTGTGTGACAGGCAGGAGATGATTGCATTTTCTCATTGCTTTTCTGCAGTTGTCAGCATTAAAATTGGATCTTGCCAGTCACGCAAAACCTTTGAATACGTACAATCCAGAAAGTCAGTTTATACAAGACCTTCGAGAGAAAAATGAGTGTACTTTCTGACGGTTTTGAAATACTATCTTTATTTGTGTTTAGAATCTTAATAATCACGACTGCCGTAGAACATTCTAAATCTACTGAATTAATTGAAACGTATAGATCGTGCATGATGTAACCCAACCACTGTCAGTTGTTAGACCATATATAGAATGCATATCTCTTGCTGTCCTGGTCCACCTAAAATAACGTGATATAGCTATGACGCCTGTCTATGGAGATTTATTTCATTCCAAACCGTTCACAATTGGTAAATTACGACCTTTTCCAAAACAGTAAATTGATTGCGGCTTGAAAACCTAAAATTTCTCATCAACACATAACAAACTTTAAATTCACTTCATAAAATTTGAATGATTTAGTCAGGATTTGAATTTTAAACGTTTTCCTCTTTTTTTCAGAAATCTTTGGTATGAAGGGAGTTGTATCGTCAGCTGAAGGATTACACACCAAACTACGTCAAGCTGCTCAACGGATTAATGGATTAACAAAAGAACGCAAACAGTTGATTAAAATGGGAAATAAGCTGAGAGCTGAATTGTTGAAATATAAAGGTATTTGAAGGAATTTTGGTATATCTATTAAAATGGCATTAATATATAGACGTTAGTCGAAATAAATTACTGTAAGAATGAATTGAATACATTTTTCGTATAGTCATGACGCGTAGCTTCTGTTGTTCGCAAAAGACTAACTGCATGCATGTGCAAAGAGAACCCGCGATGATTACGTCACTACCACATGTAGGTAGTGACACGTGACCGGGCCCCAGAACACTGCGGCAAAACGTCTGGGCACACGCCGGTCGGTTATAAGCATATTGGGAAATTTTCAATTGGAATTGTTGAAACAAAACATGCATGTTCATTGATAAAATATAAGTTAAACTTGTACTTCAAAATGTACCAAAAACAAGTGGACTAAACATTCGTTTAATGTGTCCTGGCATTTAAATATGAAATAAAATTGTAATGCAGATTAAAAATACAAAACAATCGCACCGTAACCATTTTCTTCACCTGGGCGGCATATATTTAGGCGTATGGCAAATTTCACGTTGATATTACAATGTAAAAGCTAGGAATAAGATTCAGTTTTGTGCGTTTTAGACAAGAAACAAAATTATCATCATCAAAGTATTTATACCAATTCATTTATTCAACGCGGGACATAAGAAGCAAGTGATTTCGAAATTATCAGTAACGACGAAGAATTTTTGATACTACGCACGTGCCCCCCCCAAAAGAAAAGAATCCTAGGGCCCAAAAGTGCCGGGGTTTTGGTGAAAAATGCCTTTTTGGAAATGGTAATTCTGTAAATACAACTTTAAAATCGAAGGTGGCCTTTTTTGTTTCCAATGTACGCCCAGGGCCTACAGGTACGCCCACTTACCCGTTCCTAATCTTTGTGTAGACCATGATGAATATAAACCACACTACAGTCACTACTTACTAGTCGTGTCTTTGGTGCTTTGGCAATAAAACCGTCCCTATACATATTTTTAATTGCCCTTTCTATTAGTTAGAGCCCGCCCCCCAATCTCGGTATTCTCCCTACGCCATTGAGAATGGAAATTTCGGTTATTTACGGAAGAAAGATCGCTTTGAAACACTATAAATATGCCAAAAGCTTTGAAATAAAAGTCAAACGGTAAAATACGCGCAAGACTTAATTCTTCCACGCGGCGAATCCGGCTTGATTTTGTTAAATCAATTTGGACATATTTTTGACCGTTTATTAGCTTTTATTCAATTTTCTGTTTCTTTGTGCGTGAGGACAGTTTTCGGACATACGACACATACGGTGCGTTTTAATATGTGCACCCAGGTATATGTGAATGTACGCTTTCTGAGCATACTCGATCGAAGCTAAACGACACTGCATGCATACATATTCTGTGACTTGATCAAAATTATATTCGAATGTACGCAAGCAAAACGACACACTGACACAGCTCGCTTTTTTTGTTTACTCGATCCGTGTTGTGAACGCCTTTTAAGGCGTATTAAAGGTTACGTCTGCGGAACGAAAGAAGTATCTAAGCGATAAGCATTTGTGTTTTAACCGTGCCGATCATTGTGCTTCTGATTGCCGAAGCCGATTTTTTTGTACCAAATGTAAGCGTAGACATCATACCTTGATTTGTGACCTCCCGGGTGATACGAAGCCTCCTGCTGCGCCCTTTAATGACATGCTACTTAGTCTTATAGTTCTGTCGTTTATCCTGTCGTAGTTGTTAATATAAATAGTGTTAAATGTCGCGCCGTAATCGACACGGGGGCGGGAAGTTTCTACGCCTCGTCTGCATTGCTCCACAAAATAAAAGCGAAACCCAAAAAACGAGAAATGCGTCATATAGAAATGATTATTATTGAAAAAATTTCCAGGTAGTTTAGAGCAACTTTTGTGAAGGCTGAGCAACTAGCATCAATGTTCACGTTTTGACAATGAAATAGCAATGCGACACCCCTTAATTGTTCGTGAAATCATTTTTCCAAAACGGTGAAATCTAGACACAAATTGGTACGTGATAGGGGGGGGGGTTGCTCTCGTTGAAAGAAGAATTTACGCCGATCCGACATCTTTTGTCCAAAACGGAAGTACTAATTTCACAAACCTGTCTGGGGTGTTTTTTTGGCGAACATACATTAAAATGATGGAATGGTATGGATGAAAAAAAAGTCAGTCACCCTCTACGGCATTGCATACCCAGGTAATCTGAGTGAAAAAATCAACGAATAAGAAGCCATATCCTTTGCTTCACTGAAGACTGGCTTATCATATCCTTCATATCATATAACTGCGGCATTTGAAAAATTTTAGTTAGTTCATTATTTCAATGTAAAAATGCATTTGTTTTTTCGTCAAAATCAATTAGAATTTTTATTTTTGCCCGTTTTACATTAAAAAATGTTGAGTTTAGAACTACTCAGTTTGTGCAGGCGCCTTTTGACGTATTTGAAGCCATGACTAACCAGCTGATCTGAGATCATGACATCATAAAGCGTCTTATAAATTTCACATATATTGCAACTCAACAAACTATAAAACTTTCATCAGAAGTGAATTCAATCCGACAAAATTGGATCGTATGAACAGGTTGACTTCCAGGATTGGATTTTAAAATTTGATCAAAGCGTATGTACGCCTATGTATCTATTCTTACGTAATCTCCGACCACGCGGGACCAGCGTAGTTTTGCGTGACACACGTGGGGCGATCAATGCACAAAACAGCTTTACCAAATCAAAGAAAAATATTATATAGAAACTAGAAATTTTTCTTCAATGAATGTATTTTAGCACAATATGAAGCTTAAATAGGCGGGCTAATCGCTGTATATACTATACTAGATGTACTGTCCGCCGCAAAACAATCGCAAACTGTCGAAATATATCAGCAAACTGTGCTGAAGTTGGCATGACCTTCGTGCACTCAATGTGTTATTAATATGCTGCAAATACCAATGTCTGCAAACGATTCAGACTCCGTGGTTTTACAGAAGGAAAAAGAATGGCGTGAA